CCACTAACACAACACCCCCACTATGCAACTTCCTGTCACCCTGCTGTTCATCCATTGCCCACCCACTCGCATCATATTATGTGCCTTTTGCAACAAGTAGCAGTCAAATATAATAATTTACGGTGCAGCCATTAGGTTATTCTTATTGTTCAACATGATTTCAGACATCAACTCAAAGTTTTGAACTGTTGTGAATGTAGATACATACTCAGAACAGAAAGATAAGGTCTGACCCAGATGAACCCACATACAGTGGCATTGTATTGGTTACCATAGTAATACCATAGTATTGGTTACCATAGTAATACCATAGTATTGGTTACCATAGTATTGGTTACCATAGTAATACCAACCCACATACATTGCCTTCAGAAAGTATTCACACCCTTTGACTTTTTCCACATTTTGTTGTGTTACAGCCTGATTTTAAAATAGATTAAATTGAGATTTTGTGTCACTGGCCTACACACAATACCCCATAAATGTCAAAGTGGAATTATGTTTTTTGAAATGTTCACAAATTAATACAAAATGAGAAGTTCAGGAGTATATACAGTGGGGGAAAAAAGTATTTAGTCAGCCACCAATTGTGCAAGTTCTCCCACTTAAAAAGATGAGACAGGCCTGTAATTTTCATCATAGGTACACGTCAACTATGACAGACAAAATGAGAAAAATAAATCCAGAAAATCACATTGTAGGATTTTTTATGAATTTATTTGCAAATTATGGTGGAAAATAATTATTTGGTCAATAACAAAAGTTTCTCAATACTTTGTTATATACCCTTTGTTGGCAATGACACAGGTCAAACGTTTTCTGTAAGTCTTCACAAGGTTTTCACACACTGTTGCTGGTATTTTGGCCCATTCCTCCATGCAGATCTCCCCTAGAGCAGTGATGTTTTGGGGCTGTCGCTGGGCAACACGGACTTTCAACTCCCTCCAAAGATTTTCTATGGGGTTGAGATCTGGAGACTGGCTAGGCCACTCCAGGACCTTGAAATGCTTCTTACGAAGCCACTCCTTCATTGCCCGGGCGGTGTGTTTGGGATCATTGTCATGCTGAAAGACCCAGCCACATTTCATCTTCAATGCCCTTGCTGATGGAAGGAGGTTTTCACTCAAAATCTCACGATACATGGCCCCATTCATTCTTTCCTTTACACGGATCAGTCGTCCTGGTCCCTTTGTAGAAAAACAGCCCCAAAGCATGACGTTTCCACCCCATGCTACACAGTAGGTATGGTGTTCTTTGGATGCAACTCAGCATTCTTTGTCCTCCAAACACGACGAGTTGAGTTTTTACCAAAAAAGTTATATTTTGGTTTCATCTGACCATATGGCATTCTCCCAATCCTCTTCTGGATCATCCAAATGCACTCTAGCAAACTTCAGACGGGCCTGGACATGTACTGGCTTAAGCAGGGGGACACGTCTGGCACTGCAGGATTTGAGTCCCTGGCGGCGTAGTGTGTTACTGATGGTAGGCTTTGTTACTTTGGTCCCAGCTCTCTGCAGGTCATTCACTAGGTCCCCCCGTGTGGTTCTGGGATTTTTGCTCACCATTCTTGTGATCATTTTGATCCCACGGGGTGAGATCTTGCGTGGAGCCCCAGATCGAGGGAGATTATCAGTGGTCTTGTATGTCTTCCATTTCCTAATAATTGCTCCCACAGTTGATTTCTTCAAACCAAGCTGCTTACCTATTGCAGATTCAGTCTTCCCAGCCTGGTGCAGGTCTACAATTTTGTTTCTGGTGTCCTTTGACAGCTCTTTGGTCTTGGCCATAGTGGAGTTTGGAGTGTGACTGTTTGAGGTTGTGGACAGGTGTCTTTTATACTGATAACAAGTTCAAACAGGTGCCATTAATACAGGTAACGAGTGGAGGACAGAGGAGCCTCTTAAAGAAGAAGTTACAGGTCTGTGAGAGCCAGAAATCTTGCTTGTTTGTAGGTGACCAAATACTTATTTTCCACCATAATTTGCAAATAAATTCATTAAAAATCCTACAATGTGATTTTCTGGAGAAAAAAATTCTCAATTTGTCTGTCATAGTTGACGTGTACCTATGATGAAAATTACAGGCCTCTTTCATGTTTTTAAGTGGGAGAACTTGCACAATTGGTGGCTGACTAAATACTTTTTTCCCCCACTGTAAATATGTAAAATGTACTTAACACTGTGTGCAATAATATTGTTTAACATGATTTTTGAATGACTAACTCATCTCTCTACCCCACACATATAATTATCTATAAGGTCCCTCAGTCGAGCACTGAATTTCCACAGATTCAACCACAAAGACCAGGGAGGTTTTCCAATGCATCCCAAAGAAGGGCACTCATTGGTAGATGTGTAACATTTAAAAAAAAGCAGGCATTGAATATCCCTTTGAGCATGGTGAACTTATTCATTACACTTTGGATGGCGTATCAATACACCCAGTCACTACAAAGATACAGGCGTCCTTCCTAACTCAGTTGCCGGAGAGGAAGGAAACTGCTCAGGGAATTCACCATGAGGTCAATGGTGACTTTAAAACAGTTACAGAGTTTAATGTCTGTGATAGGAGAAAACTGAGGATGGATCAACAACATTGTAGTTACTCCACAATACTAACCTAATTGACAGAGTGAAAAGAAGGAAGACTGTACAGAATAAAAATATTCAAAAACATGCAACCTGTTTGCAACAAGCCACTAAAGTAAAACTGCAAAAAATGTGGCAAAGAAATTAACTTTATGTCCTGAATACAAAGTGTTATGTTTTGGGCAAATCCAACACGACACATCACTGAGTACCACTCTCCATATTGGAGGAAAATCCTGGAGGAAAACCTGGTTCAGACACTTTGAGACAAATTCACCTTTCAGCAGGACAATAACCTAAAACACAAGGCCAAATCTACACTGGAGTTGCTTACCAAGAAGACATTGAATGTTCCTAAGTGGCCTAGTTACAGTTTTGACTTAAATTGGCATGAAAATCTATGGCAAGAGTGATTCACAACCAACTTTGACAGAGCTTGAATAATTTAAAAAAGAATAATGGGCAAATGTTGCACAATTCAGGTGAGGAAAGCTCTTAGAGACTCACCCAGAAAGACTCGCCGCCAAAGGTGATTCTAACATGTATTGACTCAAGGGTGTGAATACTCATGTAAATTAGATAATTCTGTATTTAATTTACAATACATTTGCACAAATGTCTAAAAACATGTTTTCATTTTGTCGTTATGGGGTACTGTGTGTAAAAAATATATATATATTTAATCTATTTTGAATTCAGGCTGTAACAACACAATGTGGAATAATAATGAATACTTTCTGAAGGCACTGTATAACTAGTCCAACTGAGCGTAGGTAGGCCTGAGACCATGATGCACTGCAGCGCTGCAGAGTGTCATGGAAACTTCCTCTCTGTGTGGGCAGGAAGCAGGATGCTGTGGTGTTTCTCAGAAACAGGCGTGATACACACATCAGAATGAAAACACCACAATATACTCCCTTGATGGAAAGAAGACAAGCTACATTTGAAATCGAGACTCTAGAGAGTTTCTGCTCCGAAGAGCACAAACATCTAAAATCAAATCAAATCAAATTATATTTGCCACATGCTCCGAATACAACAGGTGTAGACCTTACAGTGAAATGCTTCCTTACAATCTATCTACCATGTCTTGTGTTTATTTCAAGTGAAGTTATATCCGGTATCTGGGGTAATCTCACAAACAGTGTATCATGTTCGGTAATCTCCCACATGCTGGTGGGATTGTAAAAAAGGATTGCGTGCTATTATATGTAGAAAGAGCTTGATAATGACTTTGTATTGATTTCTGAAATGAGCTCTTTGAGGGAAATGTTTGAGTCTTCACCTTCAAGTCAGTCATAATGAGTCACTCAAGGTTTCAACATTACTAACTTCTCTTAAGTGAAAATAAGTTTCAGACAAAACATTCACATTTCCACCTTTATTATTGAGTAACAAGTGAGTATATAGTAACAATCGATGATCGAAATCCTCCAAATGTATTTTAGAAAGCTCTTTTTTACTATAGCAGTTGTCACAAAGTGCTAAAGGAAAGTGTTTACTGATAACGCAGGCTGATAAAATGACCCTTGAGCAGACTTATGATATATGCACATTATTGAAGGTGTTATTCAGAAGTGAAAACATTGACATTGGAAAGCAACATGTATTTATACTGTACACTGCTGTAATTCCTGCAACAAACATAATGCAAGAATGAACATAAACGTTGTTTTCGTAAGTTAATGGATAATTGTATTTTTTTGTCACACTTAACTCATATACACTGAGTGTACAAAACATTATGAAACCCTGCTCTTCCCATGACAGTGACTGACCAGGTGAATCCAGGTGAAAGCTATGATCCCTTACTGGTGTCACTTGTTAAATCCACTTCAATCAGTGTATATGAAGGGGAGGAGACGGGGTTAAAGAAGGATTCTTAAGCCTTGAGACATGGATTGTGTGTGTGCCATTCAGAGGGTGAATGGGCAAGACAAAATATTGAAGTGCCTTTGAACGGGGTATGGTAGTAGGTGCACAGGTTTGTGTCAAGAACTGCAACGCTGCTGGGTTTTTCACGCTCAACAGTTTCCCGTGTGTATCAAGAATTGTCCACCACCCAAAGAGCATCCAGCCAACTTGGCACAACTGTGGGAAGCATTGGAGTCAACATGGGCCAGCATCCCTGTGGAACGCTTTCGACACCTTGTAGAGTCCATGCCCCGACGAATTGAGGCTGTTCTGAGGGCAAAAGGGGGGGGGGGGGGGGGGTTGCAACTCAATATTAGGAAGGCATTCTTAATGTTTTGTACACTGTGCAAACATTAATTGCAAGACTATGTTTATTGGAGATTATAAAAAACATCCTCACATGTATAGTAACTGACAGATAATAGACAGCACACCGTACATTGTGTAATCACATGAAAGACATGGGTATGTGCTTTGTCCCAAATGGCTCCCTATTCCCTATATAGTGCACTACTTTTCACCAGAGCCTTATGCGCACGCATGACGACCTCCAGTCCACTGAGCTCAGCTTCCACGGGTGGCTGGGTCTCGGTCAGTGATCAATTACATCTGTTTATCTGAGGAGAGCTGAATGAGACACAGAGATACAGGTTAAAGACAGTATGGTGTCTGTATTTTAAACACAGAGATACAGGTTAAAGACCGTATGCGGCCATTTTAGAAACGTTGTTAGCACAAAGCTAGCCTGGTTCCGGATCTGTTTGTGCTGTCCTGCCAACTCCTACAGTGTATCATTGTCACGCCGACCATAAGAGTTGGCAAGACAGCACAAACATATTTGGGACTCATCTAAGCACAAGGCATAGATTGAGGAAGAGAGAGAGGGGTGAGTGGATGTCCCTCATCATAGCTGCAGTGAACTCACCTGAAGCTTCCAGATCAGAACCATGACGACCAGTCCATAGAAGGTACTCTTAGCGATGAAGACGCTGTAGGCCAGCTTGGCAATCAGGGTGCTGTTCACGTAGTACTCTGCAAGGAAAATAATACATTTAAATGACCTTGATTAAGAGGGCGTCAGGTAATATCGTTCCGCGGATTACGCATGAATAAATGTGATAGTATTGTAAACAGTATTTACATATAGGTTATATGTATACCATGTATTTGTCACGAACAATAAGTAGCTCAGTCTAGAATGGGAAAATGTACCTGCAGTCATCCCACCATCACCACCTGGACCTGAAAGAAACAAAGGAGTGTTTTAGATTACACAGGCTAGGGTACATCATAGTTCTACACAGGCTAGTGTACATCATAGTTCTACACAGGCTAGTGTACATCATAGAGCTACACAGGCTAGGGTACATCATAGTTCTACACAGGCTAGGGTACATCATAGTTCTACACAGGCTAGTGTACATCATAGTTCTACACAGGCTAGTGTACATCATAGTTCTACATAGTCCAATGCTATAGAGAAGCGTACTACTTGACTAAACACTTCACTAGAAAATGCCAAAAAAAAGAGAATCATACTATTGTAGTTCAACGAAACCTGTTTCTTCTCATAAACAAAGACAGAGTTTTAGTTCATAATTTGGCAATACCTTCTTCTCCGTTAATGTGATCTGTCTCATTTCTGCTAACGGTCCCATTGAAGAACTCGACGATGCAGGTGAATTTGTTGGAGGGCTTGTTCCAGTCCTTGGCTGGGACTCTCAGTCTGCTGGTGATACTGTAGAATATCCCATCTTTATCCCTCAAGGCCTTGTTGTCGGTCCCTACTCCATCAGTGATGGCGCCTCCATTAAACTGCCAGAACACAGTGACATGGTCGGGGTAGAATTTGGTGGCCACACACACCAGAGTCTTCTTCTTCTTCTTGTTTCTAGCCTCACACTCCTTCGTGGAGGGTGGAAGGACTTTCACTGTGGGTTCTTTGACATCGATGTTTGGGTCTGCAGGGAGGAAATAAAAGAAGGTTTAACCTTTAACAATCAATCAATGGCTCTGTTGGTTGTTGACATCACACCTGAACCATACATAAATGCCACCTATAAAATGGTCCTGTCTTTCTCCTTCTATAAAATGGTCCTGTCTTTCTCCTTCTATAAACTGGTCCTGTCTTTCTCCTTCTATAAACTGGTCCTGTCTTTCTCCTTCTATAAACTGGTCCTGTCTTTCTCCTTCTATAAACTGGTCCTGTCTTTCTCCTTCTATAAACTGGTCCTGTCTTTCTCCTTCTATAAACTGGTCCGTCTTTCTCCTTCTATAAACTGTCCTGTCTTTCTCCTTCTATAAACTGGTCCTGTCTTTCTCCTACCATAAACTGGTCCTGTCTTTCTCCTTCTATAAACTGGTCCTGTCTTTCTCCTTCTATAAACTGGTCCCGTCTTTCTCATTCTTGACAGTAACGTCAAGGCAACATGAACCACCAAATTCTGTGTCCAGACAAGCACATAACAACACAGCATTTCATTCAGCAGCTCAGAGTGAACCACTTTGTGACCAGCTGCCAAAGGCATTGTCAAGACCGTAGAACATGAAAGCTGTAACATGTGATTATCACAGTATTTTTACAGCACTCTTACGGTATCCTTACCCAGAACTGTTAGCTTCGTTCCCTCTCCAAAGTAGGCAGCATACCCACCAGAGCACACCACATACTTCACAGACAGAAAACCAGGTGATGCTAGCTAGCAAGTACTGTATTTCAAAGGGGGTTAATACTGTATTTGCTGTAGTTTGTCTTTAGCAAAGGGGGTAATACTGTATTTCAAAGCATGTTTATGTCGACAGAGCTGAACTCACTTCCTCCGTTAGCTCTATTCACGGGACTGAAACAAACCTATGTATTTTCCCCCTCCTGAATATTTGCACGCTCAACTAATGTACCAAAGCGATCAACTAGAATTCAATCCATTATTACAAATTATTTCAATATTGTGTATAAATACTTTAAAGAGGCGAATCTCTTACCTAGAACAGTGAGTCTGGTTCCTGGACCAAACTCTGCCTTATCCGTGTTCCACAGAGAGACAGCATACTACACACGACAGGCTCTGGATCATGACCCAGTTCTGCCACAGTTCTACTACTTTCCTTGGTCTGAACTATTAAATGGTTTCTTCAAACTGATGTAACACCATATAGATTCATGCAAACCAACGTCTCGGGAGGAGGATTTTCAACATTCTTTTACACGTATCTATAAAAAAAAAATAGATCTGGTTCACACGTGTTTAGAAATAAGCCAAAGTCTCTGTCATGAACAGAGACATCTCTATATGGGTCGTACATCTATAAGCGTCTATGCACATTTAATCGTCAGGTTTCTCAGCCAGAAGTGTTGAGTTTGGTGCCGCTGCTGAGGAATGCCTGGTTGTAGTTGACGCTGGTACTCGGCCTCAGAAAGATCCCTCCTGTCACCACTCTGGCAGAGTCTGGCTAAATACACCCTAATGTTGCTGCTGTTACATGGTTTTGGTGCTATTCTATGAAACATTTCTACATCACGAGATAAATGACACCTACAGCATCAGATCAAATCATCATCGTTGTTTTTTTATTGCCTTACCTTAGACTGTTGTTTTTTGCCTTACCTTAGACTGTTGTTTTTTGCCTTTCCTTGACTGTTGTTTTTTGCCTTTACCTTTTTAGACTGTTGTTTTTTGCCTTTCCTGTAGACTGTTGTTTTTTGGTATTTTTTCTTCTTAGGAGGTAGATCAGCTTTAATATTGTAGATGGATTGTAACTTCCATCAATGTAATTGTCTGCATCACTTTCAATCCCCATATGTTTTTTATTGCCCTATATATATAGTATATATATATATAGATAGATAGATATACATACATATCCTTAAAAATATATATATTTCCCTTTATTACTTTCCAACCCCACCATCCCCTCCCTAATTGGAGTAAACTAGTGAACAACAATGCTTAGGCCTCTACTTCATGCTTATACATACTATATACATTTCATGGACACAGTCAATCATTATATTTTGTTTGTTTTTACTCCTGAACTTCCTCCGATCATTTTCGCATGTCTTACACGAGTTATCTTGTTGTACCTTAGACTGTTCCGTCTTGTTCTATTGCCATAGTAAGCCTGTGTGTTGAATCTCACCGCTCCTAACAGAGCTGATAACTAGAACCATGGGAGCTGTAGACTGGGTCTGGGCATGGAGCCAGACCACTTTATACCTCAATACCATGTTAGGGGAACATAACTGATGCTTTTACTGCCATCCAGTTACATTAAAATATACTCTCTTAGTTAAAAAAAAACTAAACAGATTAAGATGTATAGTAAAATTATATGGTTTTATGTTGCAGAATATTTTACGTTTTGTCCATGCTATTCCCTTATGTACATTTGTACTAACATTCGGTAGTAGATTTTCTTACCCAAAACGGTGAGTTTGGTGCCGGCTCCAAAGTATGCTTCCGCGTATGAACACAGAGCGACGAGGCTGTATCATAAAGTATCCAGCTCTGACTGGGACTCTGGACTTTCTCAACCTTTGTTACTCTGTTACAAGGACATTCAAATACTCTTCACAGTAACTCAGATACAGGTATCATCTAAATCATAACCAAAGACATTATTTTGACTCTTTTTCTAATGAAATATAAGCGCTTTCCACCTACAGCAGTCATTAGGACACATTTCATGCCACATAAGATCAACTAAACACTGTAACCTACAGATTCTAGTCATGAGATTTAAAGGTGCACAAATCACATGTATTATCAATCCCAATCAGGTGTGAACATGGTTTTATTTTGGTGTAATTTCTCACCTAGAACAGTTAACCTGGTTCCTCCACCGAAGTAAGGCTGGCCGGCACCACCAGCACAGTGGATTTACTCAACCTTTATGTGACCACGTAAGGAGGACATTCAAAGACACTACACAGTCATTCTGTTACAGTACATTTCTCTAAAAATCATACAACCACATACATCATAAACACATAGATTACTGCACTTTTTTTGGTGTCATTTCTTACCTAGAACCGTTAACCCGGTTCCTCCACCGAAGGAAGCCTGGCCGGCACCACCAGCACAGTGGAGCACTGCTCTAATACAGATATAGTCTCCAGCAAATGCTTTTGTCTAGAACTTTCCATCCCAATCATGACCTTTGATAACTCTATTCTCCTAATACCAACCAACACCATGTTCTTACCAGTTTAGAACACATATAGGGTGAGACAAACACACTATAATATAATACGATATTGAAACTCTCTTCTCACAAGTATGTTGTCTAACTCAAACTACACATAGGTCAAACATAGTATATGGATTACTTACCGAGAACTGTTAATTTGGTGCCTGCTCCAAAATATGCCTCATAGTTGGCACAGTGCACAGGCTTAACATCAAAAAGCATTGAGTGGAGTAACACTAGTGTGCAACTAACCCTAATGTACTGAATCCACAATGAACTAAATCCTCACATCACTATACTACTAGACCACAAATAGAGACCCATTAGTTCTATCATGGTCAACATTCTCTTACCCAGAACAGTCAGTTTGGTTCCCGCTCCGAAGAACGCAGGATCATAGTTGTCACAGCGAAGACATACTGAGCAGTAATTATCCCAAACACTACTGCCTTGTTCTATGCATTTGGCATCAGAAATACTTTAGTAATACTTGCTTTTTTGTCAATCATCCATGTTTTTGTAAATAAATAATGTTAAAAATCATCAATTACATGATAAGGAAGTAGAAAGTATTTACCTAAAACAGTGAGTTTGGTTCCATTGCCAAAGAAGGCAGGTTGGGATGAAGTCACAGTGTTTTCACAACAACCCTTTAGTTCAGCTTGACCACGGACATTTTATGATCCTCTTATTGGCAACGAAACATCTTCAGGGTTACATATTTATATATTATGAATCTTTAAGAAGTGAACTTACCTAAAACAGTGAGCTTTGTTCCATTTCCAAAGTAGGCCACACTCCAGTGTCACATCGCTACTCTCCTATTCCAAAAATACCTCAGATATCTTTGTCATTCACCCTCGGGGGAATATGAACAGAGATACTCAGAGATACAGAGAACAGATAATACGTCAGATATCTTTGTCATTCACCCTCTAGGGAATATGAAAATCCTGTTCAGTATTATTGAGCTCTTCAGCAGCATCTCTCCAGGCTCCTTAACAGTCTCCTCAATGTGTGTGAATGGGCCCCAGCCCTCCCTGAAGGAAGTGAAGGGGGAGGTTTTGAATGAATGAATGGGGGAGGTTTTTGTAGGAAGTGAATGGGGGGGAATTTTTTTATTTAAGTGAAAGGGGTGGGGGGGTTTTTGAAAAATGAAAGGGGGGAGATTTTTTCTGGAAGGAATGGGGGGGGTTTTGTTGGAAGGAATGGGGGAAGTTTGTATGGGGAAAGGAATGGGGGGGGAAATTTTTTTAGGAAATGAATGGGAGTTTTTTAAAGAAGTGAAGGGAGGAGGTTTTTTTCTGGAAAGAAGTTGAGAATTTTTTTACGGAAGTGATGGGAGGAGGTTTTTATGGAAGTGAAGGGAGGAGGTTTTGTTGGAAGTGAAGGGAGGGGTTTTTGTAGGGGAGAAAGGGAGGAGGTTTTTTACAGAAAACAATAAAAGGAGGTTTTATGGGGAGTGAATTGGGGGGGGTGTTTTGTAGGGGTGAAGGGGAGTTTTGTAGGAAATGAAGGGAGGGTGTTTTGATGGAAGTGAAGGGAAAAGGTTTTTGTAGGAAATGAAAGGGAGGAGGTTTGTGGAAAGGTGGGGGGGTTTTTTATGGAAGGAATGGGACAAGGTTTTTTTAGGAAGTGAATGATAAAAAGGTTTTGTAGGAATGAATGGGAGGAGTTTCTTGTATGGAAGTTGAATGTGAGAGATTTTGTACGGAAGTGAATGGGAGGGAGGTTTTGTATGGAATTAATGGACAGATGTTTTTTGTATGGAAGTTGAATGATCAGAGGTTTGTGTATGGAAGTGAATGGGCCAAGGTTTTTTTGTATTGAGTGATGATCAGAAGTTTTGTATGGAAGTTAATGGGACCCCCAAAAAGGTTTTTGTATGGAAGTGAATGATAATAAGTTTTTGTATGGAATTGAATGGTAAGGAGGTTTTTTTGTATGGAAGTGATGAAAGGAGTTTTTGTATGGAAGTGAATGGGATTGGTTTTTGTACGGAAGGGAAGGGAGAAACTTTTTGTAGGGAAGTGAATGGGAGGGGGTTTTTGTAGGGGGGGGCTCTATTAAATAATCCCCCGTGGCCCCCTGCCCCCACAGTTTAGAGCTCACACAAAAAACTCTTCTCTCACCATTTATTTTTCTTGACTCCTTCCCCCCCCCCCTTTCCCCTCTTTTCTCTATCTCTCCCCATCTCCCCTTCTCAGTATCTGCTGTATCAAGGTGTGTTGGTATGGGGGGTTTACTGGAGTTGGATCCTTTCCCAAACGCTGCTTTTTTTTCTTCGCCGCACAAAGAAAAGCAGCAGGAGAAGAAAAAAAGGGGGGAAAAGGGAAGGGGGACGGAAATGTTTTGTTTCTGTTTCCTCCTAAATGATTCGCCTCTCTAAGTCTCAAGTGCCCCCCCCCCCCCCCCCCCCCCCCTTTGCCTGACAACCCTCCCCTCCCCCCTTCCATCAGTATCTGTACAGTAACTTCTCCAAGACGGCTGCAACTCCCGGTCCTAAACTTGCGTACCAGCAAACTATTTAATTTCCATTTGATCATATTGCGTGGTAATTTTTCATTATTTTTTTCCTTTTTGTTGAATAAAAAAAACAGAAGATGTACATAAAATCAGGGATTAATATGTATTTGGGGGGAATTTTAAAATGTGTTTTTTTTTTGAATCATTCTTAAAGTCATGGAAATTTTTAATTGACCCAGGAGATTTTAGACTTCGGGTTTTGTTTTTTAATTGTAACCCAACATTTAACCCCCAAAGGGTCTGTATGATCTCTCTTAAAAACTTCCCCCTTTTTTAATCAAGATTTCTTTTGTACAAGGGTCGGGGCCTACATCCCAAACCCTGGTGCATCGACATCGAAAACCCCATTACTGTTTTTTAAAATTACTTTGAAACTGTAAAAGCACGACTTGGCCTGCAAAAGAGGACACAAATCTGCTGTACGGTTGGCACCTGTACTCTCCCACCTCATAGGATCATTTACCCGATGCCAAAAAAATAACTAAAAGGATGGTTTAATGTCAGGTTTTAAAGAAACACACCATCAAATTAAGATAAACCACACCTGGCCCTTACAAACCCCCCCAGATTACCCCCCCCAAACTGAACTACCCCCCCCCGGGTTCAACCAACTAGCTGAACTACCCCCCCCCCCGAGATACTCCACACTACTTTAACACCCCCCCCCCCCCCAAATATCAACCACCTACTGACTAAACCCCCCCTCCCCCCCAGATACAACCAACTACTGAAAACCCCCCCAGAATATCAACCACACTACGACTACCCCCCCCCCTCCCCCCAAAATATCACCACCAGCGAACTACCCCCCCCAAGATATCAACCCCCACTACCCCAACCCCCCCCCAAATACAACCACACTACTGAGCTAAAACCCCCCCCCAGAATATCAACCACACTACGAACACCCCCCCGAATATAAACCCTACACTAAAAACCCCCCCCCAGAAAATCCCACACAGCGAACTACCCCCCCCCCAGAGATATCAACCTCACTAGCGAAAAACCCCCCCAGGATATCAACCACACCAGCTGAACTACCCCCCCCAAAATATCAAAACCCACTAGCTGAACTACTCCCCCCCCCCGATTATCAAACCCCAAAAGCTGAACTACCCCCCCCCCAGAATGTCACCTCACTGCTGAACAAATCCCCCCAAGATATCAAAACCCCCTAGCTAACACTCCCCCCCCCAATATATCAAACCCCCACTAAATAACCCCCCCCCCCCCCCCCAGAGATATCAACCAACTGCTGCACCCCCCCCCCTCCCAGGATATCAACCACCTACTAACTACCCCCCTCCCAGGAAAACAACCACACAGCTAACGCCCCCCCCCCCCCGAGCATCAAACCCCTGGCTGAAATAACCCCCCCCCCCCCCCCCCAAATATCAACCACCTACACTACCCCCCCCAAGATATCAAAAAACCCCTGAATACCCCCCCTAGAAAATCAACCCCCTACTGCCCACCCCCCCGAATATCAACCCCACTACTAAAACCACACCCCCCCCAAAATATCAACCACACCACCCAACTACCCCCCCAAGATATCAACCACACTACGAACTACCCACCCCCCCCCCGAGAATCAACCACACTAGCTAACTACCCCCCCGGAAAATCAAACCCACTAGCTAACCCCCCCCCCCCCCCCCCCTGAGATATCAACCCAAATAGCTTAACTACCCCCCCCCCCCCCGAGATATAAACCCCATAGCTAACTACCCCCCCAGAGATATCAACCAACTACTGAAATACCCCCCCAAATTCAACCATCCCACTAACTACCCCCCCCCCCCAGATATCAACCAACCCCCCTGAAATACCCCCCCAAGATTCAACCACCACTGAAAAATTCCCCCCCAAAATTCAACCACACTAGTGAAAACCCCCCCCCAAGATTCAAAAAACTCTACTCCCACCCCCCCCCCCAGATACAACCACCTACTGAAAATAAAACCCCCCCCAGAATATCAACCATACTAGCCCGAAATACCTCCCCCCCAGAATTCAACCCCACTAGCTGAACCCCCCCCCCCCCCGAAGTATCAAACCCTACCATGACTACCCCCCCCCCCCCCGAGATATCAACCATCTAGAACACCCCCCCCCCCCCCGAGATATCAACAATCTTTCCCACCTTCCCCCCTTTCCCCTTTCCCCCCAACCCCCCCTCCCCCCTCCCCTCCCCCTCCCTCCCCCCTCCTCTCCCCCTCCCCTCCCCCCCTCATCCCCCTCTCCCCCCCCCCCTCCCCCCCCCCCCCCCCCCCCCTCCCCCCCCCCCCCCCCCCCCCCCCTGCTCTCCCCTTCCCCCCCTCCCTCCTGGGGTTGTGGGGGTTTTTGTACACGTGCATCTGTTTTTGATCGTGTGCTTTCGGAAGCAAAGTAATACACCCCCGTCCCCCCAACCTCCCTTGTTGATCTCCAAAATGACTATCCTTAGGCCTGCCCCTTTGTCTTGGTCTTCTCAAACGGAGGTTCTATTTCCCCACACTCTTGACCCGGGGAATATGTTAGCATCTCCATGTTGTTGTGTCTCTCGGGTCGGAAACCAGAACATGTAGTAGTAGCTGCTGTCGTCATGGTAACACTGTAGATGACGGACCGTCTCCTTCCCTACAGAACGGGACGGAGAACGTTGAAGGGTTACGCCGCAGTAAAATCTGAGAGGGAAAAAAAAAAGAAATAAACATTTTTTCAGTAAGTTTTCAACGAATGTGATTAAATAAAATCGTTGCTCTAATTTCAAACAGTGCAATGAACAATGAAACCCAAATGACCCTTCATAAACACAAAAATAAGTACTATTTTTAACATGAGTATTTCCGTATGTACAAGATGTAGGTTAGGTTTTGAGAAAAGGTTGTTCTGGCAGTGAGGAGGAGAGACAGAGTCACCACAGCAGCTTCATACTGACAGACATCAGAGGACAGACAGACTGTTCACTCTCTTTTTCACTCTCCTTCTTCCCCAGACCCGTTCAATCGGGCCAGGAAGTGACATTATAGACTAGGAAATGATGTCACATCCTGCTGCTATAAATCAGTTGGTGAGTACAACATATGCCTCTTCCCACATTTCTACCACTTCATCTCCCCTC